AAACCAAGCACAATATGGACACTGTATGAACAGCAACAAGATCAGAGTCAGATGAATTCTTTGAATAATGTACATATCCTTCATGGGTATTCCAGTTACAAACACAACACATTATCTATCATGTATTTCATCTTCATTCAGAACACCACAAGTATTTAACCTGAATCAAATTTCATTGTGCTTAATGGTTGTGGACAAGTACTTTACAGATCAGAGTGGATAAAAATCAATGATTTAAAAAAAATTAAAAATCCAATTTTTTTTAATAAAATATCATTTGAGGAAAAAGCCTACGTAAAAATAGTTTTAATTAAGATACATCACAGCTCAAAGATATCATGGAATAGGGATTATAAATTCTAGTTCACGTAATGTTTAATAAAAGTTTTGTAAAAGAGTTCCAATAGTTCATGGATTAGGGACCCACTCTTATGGTGTTCCAGAGGCAAACGTATAGATTTAAGTTAATCTTTTTGTCTACTCAGTGCTTAGTCTGGATGATACTATGGATGATACTAGAGATGTTTAGTTTTGAAGTTCTAAAACTGTGGATGTGTGTCTCCAGAGATAACATGCTTGTTAACAGCAAAAATGTTTTAGACAGACAGACCAACTGACTGACCTCAACCCTATAGTCCCTCTGCAAATTTGTGTACTCAGTCAATCCTTTATTTCTCTCAAAGTGCAAAGTTTCAAAAAAATTCAATGAATAGAAGCCAATATATATTAAGTCTCATGTTGACTTGGCTGACAGTCAATTTTTTTTTTAATTTCATTTAGCTATTTTAGTTTAAAACAATTAAGAAAATAAATTTTATTTTCAAAAGCTTGAATGTTTAACTAAGTTAAATTCATATGCTTGTTTTGTTGAATATATTTACTGTTGACGAAAAGATATTCAAAATATCTAACATTTTATTTAACTAAAACAATTTAAAAGTCTGTTTGATTAACCTGTTGAATTGGAGATTTTTATGAAGTCATTGGGAGGTGAACTATGTGCTTCAATTACCTTTGGTAAATGAAATAACTGAATGATTATTTATTTCTGATATCGCTGTAAAACTAATCTGAAAAATTTTCAAAATAAATCACTGCTTAAAAATGTATAGTGTGTACCTTCTAAAAATGAAACCTAAATCTGTGAGTTGTGAATACATATGTTATAACAACCAACAAGAATGTAATTTTATGTAGGTTTTATACACTTTTAAATCAAACCCACCCTGGTACAGATTGTTATTGACCCTCTCTAATGTTAAAGAATCCCCAATCACCTCCAACAGAAGTGCTGTGAAAAGACTTCTAATTAGGGCAGATGTTCTCAAGGGCAGCATTTTTGCAAAACATGGCATGGTAGCACTAGTGCTGTGAGAACCTGAAAGTGAAATTGACCAGACTGTTTAATTCACATTACCTAAGGGATTGCTCAACCTAAACTATCTTCAATTTTTTTAAAAGTGAGTTGAGCAGTTTCAGATCTGTGTCAGCTGCCAAATTTCCAAACCAATTTTTGTGATATTACCCATCATTTCCTGTTCTTTAAAACAGTTGTTCATTCCCCTATTGTTGAGTGGGGAAAAGCATTTACAATGAAGAGGAAATTGCTGAAGTTTCACACAAAGTGAAATGGGATAAATAAAATATTGTCAAAGAAAAAATATAAGATATTAAAAACAAGATTTTCTTCATGTATATCAATCTTATTTTCAAATAGTAGGTAAGTTATAGCCAAGACTATAATTTCACTTTTAGCATCTCATCTTAAAAAAAACAGTAACATGTAGTTCATTACTGATCAAGCCTAAGGATCTCTTTGAACTGCAATTCACTTTTGCTACATGAAAAGGATATTAAGTTAACTTGCTGGTAGCATAAGAAGAATGTTTTTCACTTAAATAACAATTTACGTTTTCCTACAAAATCTCTAATATTTTTCTACAATTCTGAAGATGTAAATATTCAATTTCTTCAACAGAAGGCTTTCATTTTTAAAACTGATGAGGATCCTGCAATTGCATATTCTATAGAATTACAGAAGACCATGCAACTCTGGTTTCTCACTAAAAATTGGGAGGTTTTTGCTTCATATATAAGGCTATATTGATTTTGCAAAGGGTAAATGGCAAATGAAATTTAATTGTGATAAATGTAAAGTAATGCACATTGGAAAAATAATCCCAACTATACATACAATACGATAGGGACTAATTTATGCACTACTCAAGAGAGAGCTCTTGGACTCATTGTGGCCAGTTCTCTGGAGACATCCACTCAATGTGTAGCAGCAGCCAAAAAAGCAAATAGAATGTTAGAAATCATTAAAAGAGGGATAGAGAGTAAGACAGAATATCTTATTGACACTATTTAAAACCATGATACACCCACATCTGGAATACTGCAGACAGATATGGTTGCCTCATCTCAAAAAATATATAATGGCATTGGAAAAAGTTCTGAAAAGGTCAACAAAAATTATTAGGGGTTTGGAACAGGTCTCATATGAAGAGAGATTAAAAAGACTGGGACTTTTCATCTTAGAAAAGAAGAGACTAAGAGGGGATATGATAGAGATCTATAAAATCATGACTGGTGTGGAAAAAGTGAATAAGGAAAAGTTGCTTACTTATTCCCACAATATAAGAACTAGGGGTCAAACGAAATTAATAGGCAGCAGGTTTAAAATAAACAAAAGGAAGTTTCTCTTCACTCAGCACACAGTCAACCTGTGGAACTCCTTGCCAGAGGATATGGTGAAGATTAGCACTTTAAACAGGTTTCATAAAAGAGCTAGAGAGATTCATAGAGGTTAGGTCCATCAATGGATATTAGCTTGCATAGGTAGGAATGGTGTCCCTAGCCTCTGCCTGGAATGGGTGACAGGAGAGGGATCATATGAGGATTACTTGCTGTGTTCCCTCCCTCTGGGGCATCAGATATTGGCCACTGTCAGGAGACAGGATACTGGGCTAGACGGATCTTTGGTCTGACCCAGTATGGCCATTCTTATAGGTATACAGGACAACAGCCTTAAGTTTATATAGTTATAGCACAGGTGCAGTAAATATTACTCCTCATAACTATGGGATCAAATATCCTTTTTAAGTCATGGAAAGTATTACACTAATTAGATGAGAATAGCAGAACCTGTCACAGGTCAGCTGAGGACGTGCAAAAGCATAGATACATGGGGCCCCGACACTAAAATAAGTAGCGATTCATGTTTCCGTGTGAGGGGATTTCAGCCTTAGCATGCGATTTCTTTTTTTTTTTTTTTTTTTTCACAAAATATAGCTAATATTGATTTTTAAACATTTTCCATATTTAGCAAGCTAAAATTTCAAGGGCATTTTATCTATTTAAACATTTACCAGTTGCAGGAAATGTTGGCAATTTAGTGACAAATGATTTTGAGTTAAAGCTTCAAAGTTATTAAAACCATAACTCATGTCAAAATATATACAGGCAGTCCCCGGGTTACATGGATCCGACTTACATCGGATCCCTACTTACAAACGGGGTGAGGAAACCCCGCACAAGCTGCTTCCCCCCAGCAGACCAGGGAGACGTGAAGCTAGCGCCCCCCCTTCACTTACAAACGGGGTGAGGCAACCCCACACTAGCTGCTTCCCCCCAGCAGACCAGGGAGATGCGAAGCTAGCGCCCCCCCACCCCAGCAGACCAGGGAGAGGTGGAGCGGCTTTTCTCAGCAGACACCTCAGCTTGAGAATAAAGCCTGAGGGAAGTGAGGTGTGGGAGAATAAAACTGAGCTCTGGAGAAATGTTTGGCTAGAGTTTCCCCTACAATATGTACCAGTTCCGACTTACATACAAATTCAACTTAAGAACAAACCTACAGTCCCTATCTTGTACGTAACCCGGGGACTGCCTGTACAATATAAATATCCTTAAAATCAAACTAAATTGTCAAGCTGCATTTTTCTTTCTTTGCCTATTTATAAGTGTCTATTATCGATAGAAATATTTTTTCCACTGGTTTGTGTACACTATGAAATTGATGTTTATCAATATTTGCTGATAATCTAAATCTTTCCAGTCCTGACTATCTCTAGTACTAAATTCCATTTATGTAGCCATTGAATCCAATAACTTTGCTTTGATTTTCTTCACATTTGACACACTGAAGATATTAAGGAAAATAAACTTCTAATAAAGGCGCTTAAAAATGACAATTATTGGAAAAAGTCTGTGTAAAGCTAGTTAATTGAAATTTAAGTAGAACTCACTTTTTTTTATTCTTGCTCACTCATGTATCTCACCAACATTGGATTATATTACTAGTTCTTAAGTATGCTTTGCTATTAAGAAAACTAAAAATAGTTCTGACTAAACCTCTCCTGATATATTAGAACAAATTTTCACAACCAGCCTGAAACAAGGAAGCTGCATAACAAGCAAATGGGAGGGGGAGAAATAATCTTGGCATTGTATCTCTAGAGGACTCAGTGACGCATCTGTTGTGGGCAACAAAAAGGGGCTGCCATTTCACTGCCCCGAAGGTTCTCTGCAGACCTGAGCCTTCCCAACACACAACTGTGCTAGAAGGAAGCCTGCATATGCCAGAGCATGTCCCATGTCCTAACAGAAGATGGGGGAAGGGTTAGTCATGTCCATCCGCCATTTTCTGAGCAGAGAAGGAAGACATGTTGGAACAAAAACACAACAAAAGAGAGCAGCCATTTCCAATGCTGTCTCCCCGCCCCCTCCGAATCCAACCTACATTCCCAATCACAAGTCCGGAGGGAATTCCCCCTCCTCTGGGATTGCTGCACAAAGGGCTGAAACCTACAGGACTAAGAGGGGGGAATTGGGAAGGCTGGGTTAGAGATCCTGACAATTCTATTAGAGGCACACTTTCCATCTCCCAAATCGATCCTGAGTAAAAACATTCACCCCTTCTCTAACCAGGTTGCCCCATCACAAACTGATGCAAAGGGTAAGAGTCCATACTCATGTCCCAGAGCCTGTTTGGCTCTTACCTTATATGTGGGATGCCAACTCCCCCTTGGAGAATCTTGTACAGTTTGCTCTCATACAGCAGCTGAGGATGCCTGGCCTTCTGAGACTCCAACTTCACCGCCACTTCCTGCAGTGAGAGGGAACAGGGATCAGAGCATCCACCAAGCACAGGGCTTAGGACACAGCACTCCATTCCCCCTCAGAGCTGTGTGTCAGTAAATTTTGGAAATGTGGGAACATTTTCTAGAGCTCTGAACACTAGCTCAGTATCCATAACATGGAGGAGTAACAAGCTCTGCAAATAAAATCCAAATGGTGCCATATGTGCAAATATCCATCTTGGAAAGGCAATAGGACTACTAGAGAGAAGTTTAGTCTTCAGATCCACATGACTAATCGAGATGAATTGTTTCTTCATGACTAGGAAAAAATGTGAGGTGGGAGAGAGGAAAAAGAAGAGAACCAAAGAGTTGGAGGGTCCTTTTGTTTCCCTCATCATTGATGATGTTGAGAGCCGGGTAAGTACATGCCCCCTCAAAGGGGAAAGGAACAGATGACTAAGAGGGGAAAGTCGAACCTTACGCTACTGATAGCAAGGGTCAGGTCCCTTATTTCGGAGGAGAGAGAGAGATCCCTACGTCTACCACCCATCCCCCAGGTAAACGGAGCCCCGAGTCGATGCGCTATCTCCAGGAGTCTCTCCCGAGAAGGGACGCCTCCGTCTCGTAGCGGACTAACCACCCCAGCGATAGGCTCATCGCCCAATCTCTTGGTGAAACCGACTGCAGGGCTCTGGGCTCATCCTCCCCTCCAGGGAGGGGGGTCACTAGTAGGTGCCCCAGGGCGGGGACTCCCTGAAGGGGCTACGTGGCGCCCTTACCTCCCCGTTGGTGATGTTGATGGCCAGATAGATGTCCCCGAACGAGCCCGACCCGATCTTCCGCACCAGCTTGTATTTACCCCCGACGATGAACTCGGCCTTGGAGCCGCTGCTGCTCGCCATAGTGAGGGGCGGCTCGCGGCCCTCCCGGCGCGGGAGAAAAGCGGGGTGGGGGGTGCCGCGCTGGAACAAGGAGGTTAGGGGGCCTCTGCGCCGCCCGGGCGGAGGCGGGGAGTCGGCAGCGGAGGAGGAATGTGGTCCCCGCCGCTCAGCTTAGGCCGGGCCCCTGCGGCGGGCGTCCTCCTCCGCGGCTCTGCCCCACTCCCCGGCCGGGCGCCACTACACTCGCTGCCCGCTCCAGAGACACGGAGGCGGCACCGCGAGGCTTTGAGGGTCCGAGCGCAGGTGGCACCGCCGGATCCCGGCCGCCCCTATTGCTTCACTCAGCAGCCGCCGCCATCTTGTATATCGCACTGCTGCTAACACGGACACAAAATGCCTCCACTCTGCGGCCGCCGCTTCTTCACCGCGCAGGGCACTCTGGGGATGGGGCGGGGTAGCTACTGTGCATGTTCTACAGAACACAAAACGCGCATGTGCAAGATGAGGGGGCAGGCGAGGACGTTGAGCCAACGCGCATGCGTAGGCGTTAAATCAAAGTCAATGACTAGCTCGACTTTTCACGCAGCCACCAGCTCAACCTTCCTGTCAGCTTCCGCAATTGCACATGCGCACAACCCTATTCGGAATCCAAGCGGAAGGGCGGAAAGAAAGGGCGCATGCCCGCCTCCAGTCCTCCTTCGCCTGTTCCCCCTCCTCCATCCTTAAAGGGCCAGGGGACTCTCAAAATTACCAAAGGGCTTTCAAAGTCACTTGACAAGGCCAACCTGATTGGCCAGGGTAGACATGGGGCCAAGGGCACGGGGCTTTTCAACAAGAGCACGTTTACTTGTCTGGTCCCTGCTCCAGACAGATGTGTCCCCCCCCCAGCCATCCCAGAGACCCAAATCTCTGTTTCTGACAAGCAGCCTAGCTTTGGGGCATGCAGAGACAGGGCCTTGGACTAGTGAGTTTTATTAGAAACCAGTCATGTTCAGAGAGGCCAGGGGCATCCAAATGCTAGTGCTTTCATTTTTGATGCCCAGCTTGTGACAGCCTGAGCCTGATTTTCAGATACCGAGCATATGCAACATTCAATGCAATTAGTGGGGGGCGTTCAGTTGTGCTCAGCACTGGTATGCAAAGTCAGTGGCCTCTTCTGAAAATGTGGCTGCACAGGGACAGATACTTTTTGTCCATCCCACAATCCAATCTGCTAAGTATTGCTATAGGGTAGGCTCTTTGTAAAACAGCTGAGGAGACACTGGGTGAAGAATAAATTGAAAATATAAAGGACCTAAAAGTCAGACCAGGTGTAAATGAGCCTGCTCTGACTGAAGTAAAGGGAATCTCAACAGTTTACATTTTATCCTTTTTATGAGTGGATGGATCTTGTCTATAACCTCTTTGGAACAGGTACCTGACTTTGGTGCTTTACAAATAATAATAAATTAATGGTTTCAGATCACATTGAGGAATAGTAGAAGTATTACATTGTACTTGCAATATTCATAAATCAGATTCTTGTACCTGTTCTCTTAGTCACTTTTCCTGCTATATTCCTCCTCCTTCTTGATCTTCAATGTGTAAATTACACCATATACTCCATCTTTCTGATCAGCCTATACATATCACCTTTTATATCATCTCTGGGTATGGCCCAAATCAAATCCTAAGTGCTTGAGTTCATTGTATAAACAAAAATTCACAGTAATGAGTGGCACTGAAGTTCTCCAAGCTATTTTAAGACCCCTGCAGTATCTCAGGCCCAGAAGCAGAAGAGGGGTGAATTAAAAAAAATGACTGGAGCTTCTGTGCATACCCAACAGCTGTTTTGGGAGCTCTAACATGATTTCATTTAACTCCGAACTATGGGCCTTTTTGGATTATAAAGCACATAGCACTAATTTCTGGAGATGCCTTGCAAATTTCTCGTGGGAGTTCTTTAAGCCAGTGGTTCCCAACCTATGGTCCACGGACCCTTGGTGGTCCTTGACAGTACTGCAGGGGCTCCATGGAAAGTTTAAAAATAAGGATTGGGCCCACCATTTAATTTTCTTTTTTCTCCCCCCAGGAGGAGGGTCTGTGAAATTTTAATAGATTGAAAAGGGTCCGTATGCTCAAAAAAGCTTGGGAACCACTTCTTTAAGCAGCTGCTTTGTTTCCACCAGATATAATCTGGGGCTGCTGTTTCTTTCTGCCTTTTAAAACATTCTTTCCTTCGTTGTCTTCTTAAGCCATTCTCTACATTGTTCTTTTGCAAGAGCATGAAACTGAGAATTCCTTGTGACTCATTATTAGTCACTGTGAGGATGAGTGCCACTGTGTAAAACTAAATTTGGGAGAAGATTTAGGCCTCCAACTTTGTTGAGAAAGTACTTAAAGAAATGCGGCCAAATTATAAGAGCAATATCCCTCAGATACCAACTTGGCATGCCTCTTTCTAAATGGGTTAGCCACAGAAAACCTCCCTTTCAGCTCAGCTGTGATGTTGCTCAGAGGCATAGCAAGGATGTTATGCACGCGGGAGCAAAAGCAAAATTTGTGCCACTCCCCACCTGCCACAGCGCACTGGGGTCCCAAACCTGGCGTATGGCTGAGCCCGACCCTGAGAGGAGGGGGGAAGCTGGTATCGCGTCTTCTCCTGCCCCCTCCAGTTTGGGGTCAGGACCCGCATGCTCTAACCCACCAGCAGAGATGGAGGAGGGCAAGGCTGGGGGCGGAGAGGCAGGGAGGAGGCTCCAGCCAGCAGCAGTGGGCGGAGGAGGAGCAGGTGAGTGGAGGGATGACAGGGGGAATGGAGGGGAACTAAATTGGTGCCCCCCTAGCCTGGCACCCGGGGGCCACTTCCCCCCCCCCCCCCCCCCCCCCCCTCCTCTTCCCTGGAGTTGCTAACCATATGCTTATGAATGAGGAGGAGCCTGATTTAAGGCGTGGTCTATACAGTGTAACCCCCAAGGAGGTTACTTAGATTCCCAGGGCTCTGTCTGCTGGCAGCTCAGGGACAGGCACACTGAGTTTGCCTTGGCTCCCCCTCCCTACCAGAAGGAGAGCCCCCTCCCAGGGAGTTCAGGAGGAGAAAGAGGGGCCATTGTTGGGGGAGTCTGGAGCCAGCCAGGGCAAGGGGACGACTGGCTGTGTGGGAGCTAGTAAGCCCCAGGCCTGCATGCAGGGTTCCTCCTGAGAACTAGCCTCTAGGGACCTGAAGGCAGGATCCCTCAGCTGGGTTTTATTTCTCCACTGTTGATTCCCAGTTTATGGAGTTTGCTGGGAGGCTTCCCCAGCCAGCCTGAGTTGGCTCTCCAGCTCCCTGGGTGAGACCAGTCACCACATGGCCAGGTCTGCTCTGTCTGCTGGTTCCGGGCTGCTGCCTACTGTGTGTGTGTCTGAATGCTAGGGTAGGAGATTACGGTTTGAATTTTGGTGCAGTTGTGTGGCCTGCACCTTGATCCTTGCACCCCTTTGTGGTGAGGGGAAATCCTGGGACCGAAGCAGCCTGATTCCTGCCTGAGGAGGATCCCTGCCAGCAGAGACCAGCCCCTCTGCAGTGACTGAGTCATCTCTGAACCTGAGGCTCATTCATGGAGTGTGTGAGTGCACCACCATCTTTTAGTTAGGGAATTTGTTTGATGATTTTATAACCTGCTGCATATTAAACCTATGGACGGATTTACCACTTGTGAGTCCTTTGGGCTGTACTGGACCCAGTCAGCCTCACTGCTAACCTACTGCAGAGAAGAACCTTGTGGTCATAAGTCATCAAGGGCCCCAACAAAGTACGCGTACCAACAGGACACTAATCTTACAGTTGCTGGGCACCGGTGACCCTAAAAATAGTGTTTTACCCTGTTATATTTGTCTCCTGTTTAATTTAATTGTGGTTATTATAGTGTATGTGTTTGTGTTATTTTCTGGGAGTGTGTTATTTTCTGGGAGTCTCCAGCTATCTGGCAAGTACGTGGGGATTCCTCTGGATTAGAATTTTCCTCCCAAGCTGCCCTGGTGACCCTGCCAGGAAGCAGTGAGGGTAGTGGAGGCACCGCCAAATAAATTCATCGGAAAAAATAAAGTTGAGTGGGTGGCGGGATCCAGAAGAACCCAGACCTATCCATCAAAATCTGTAAGCAGATTGGCATTGAAGAAGGTAACCAGGTGGAGAGGGGCACTACAACAGTTTATGTGCTGACACTTAATTACCTTATTTAGGAGTGTGAGTTTATACTGATATGGTAAAGGTACAAGCCTGTGATTGCAATTATACCAATATAAAGATGCTTCTAGTTTAGCCTATTCCCTCTATATATCTGCAGCTACATTAGAATGCTGTACTGTTTTAACTCTATTGGTTTCTAAATGGCTATAACTGTGGTAAAAGAACTCTCTGTCAAACAAGCACTAAGTTTGGCCGTAGCCATGTGATTAATGAACTCTGAGACTTGCCTAAATTAATTTGGTCTTCATTTGTTATCTTAAGATGGCTGCAAATTAGGAAACTAAGGCTACAACTACACCTCAGAGTTTTTGCACAAAAACTTGCGGAGCGTCCACAGTACAAGCACATTTTTGTGCAAAAAAAAAAGTACAGTAGATCATCAGAAGACAGGGCTTTTTGCACAATAATTATTCCTCTTTCTATGAGGAATAAGCCTTTTTATGCAAGAGCTCTTGAGCAAAAAGGCTTGTGTGGATGGACAACAGGGGTTTCTTATGCAAGAAATCCCTATCGGAAAATGCACAGGTACTCTGATGGCCATTCTGTGAATGGCCATCATAGCTTTCTTGCGCAAGAGCGTCCAAGGCAGTGTTGATGCTTCCTTGCACAAAAGCACATCTCTTGCACAAAAGCACATGGCAGTGTGGACCCTCTTTTGTGCAACAACTTTTTGCGGAAGATCTCTTTGGGTATGTCTACACTACAATGTTAGTTCGAACTAACGGACGTTAGTTCGAACTAACATTCATAGCCGCTACACTAGCGCTCCGCTAGTTCGAATTTGAATCGAACTAGCGGAGCGCTTAGTTCGAACTAGGAAAACCTCATTTTACGAGGATTAAGCCTAGTTCGAACTTACTAGTTCGAATTAAGGGGTGTGTAGCCCCTTAATTCGAACTAGTGGGAGCTAGCCCTCCTCAGGTTTCCCTGGTGGCCACTCTGGCCAACACCAGGGAAACTCTATGCCCCCCTCCTGGACCCGGACTCCTTAAAGGGGCACGGGCTGGCTACGGTGCCCATGCCAGGTGCAAGCCTGCCAGCACCCAGCCAGCAGACCCTGCACCTGGCACGGCACAGAGCCACCCACCCGATGTCCCCCAGTCCACCCCCTCTTCCCGGGACCAGGCTGGCGGCTCCCGGGAGCTTGCCCTGGACTGCAAGAGGCGGGCACCTTCCTGGGCTAGTGCGGACATCGTGGACCTTGTCCACGATCTCCGCACTAGG